AAAAAAAAAATATGACACTGATTCTTATTTGAACATGTGGTATAATGTTTCAGTGCAACTATCTGTGCTTGGAGATTTGAGAGTGGAACTTTTGCCTAAAGTGCAAATTATATTCCATAATAATTGTAAATGAAAAAGGTGAAATGCCATTTAAAAAGACCACCCCTAACTGTAGGGAGAGTAATGGGTCTTGTAGGAGGCACCCCTTTGGGCCATGAATGCCGAGGACTAACGGGTGCGAGGCTGTGAGGTAGGTGGTCCTGGGATGTGGAATCCTGAAAGAAAAGGGGATTCGACTGATGGATTAGAGCGAGTCCTGCTCGCTCTTGAACAGAGAGCTACTCATCTACTCGAGGTCAGGACAATGGACTTGGAACTATTTGTATGTCTTTATTTCTTTCTATTTTTCTTTTCTCTCTTTTTGTTTTCTCTTTCAGGGTCTATCTATATAAAATAGACAGGATAATCAATTCCAAGGAGACAGCATGGGATTGACAGTTCCGGGGGGAGGGGGGCAGAGGGGCAACATGGGACAGGAGGGGGTGGGGGGAGTGGAGTGTTAAGCCAATAACAACAGGGTTCTAGAATTGACGGTGAGGCACGTGAGGTGTTCCCTGGTTCATGTTTGATCAATTGAAATGTATCTGAGAGGAATTACTGAGAAGTAATTCCTGGGTAAACATGATAGTGGGACAGGAGGAAAGAAGAAGGAAAAAAGGAAAAAAAAGGAAAGAATAAGAAAGTAAAAATTATATATAGGTATATAAAGATAGATATGTATATATGTAAGTATATAAAGATAGGTATATATATATGCAGATGGACTTTGGGCCTCTACTTAAATCTTACCTCAGTACAAGAATGGTTTCTCCTAATAATGTGGCACTGTACCATACTCACCTTCCCAAAACAATCACTGAAGACAAAATAGGTGTATAAGCAAATGTGGTGAAGAAAGCTGATGGTGCCCAGCTATTAAATATTATAGCACCTTGGGTCTTAAAGTCTTGAAGTTAAACAAGCAGCCATGTAGCAGGAAATTAAGCCTACATAAAAGGAGCACACCAAACTGATCGTGAGGTTTCGATGGTATCAGAAGTTCAAGACAAGCCATAAAGGTGACATGAAGGAGTATAGACAAAGTGGAGACCCCCAGCTGTAAGATAATTGAACAGTCTCTCACAGAAGGGATGCACGGAAGGGATGACATATCCAGGGTGCAGTATAGCACTGATAAAATGCATAACTATCCTCTAGTTCTTTAATATTTCCTCCCCTTACTATTAAGGTCTTTGTTTTACTTCATTAATCTTGTTAGACCTGCATATGTTGATTTGTATAATTAAGAGCGCTAGATTCTGTTAAATCCAAGACGAATAACCCTGCAGAAACAGTAACAGGACTAATGATTCCCTGAGGGTATGGGAAGAGGAGAGTGGGAGCTGATAGCAATCGTAACTGTATAACCCCACTTGATTATAACTAAAGCCATTTAAAAATTAAATTTTCAACAAAATATTGCAGGCAGATCATAGTAATTCCATTGACCAATACTTCTGCAATTATTTGGATCTCCCTATTTGAAATGAGCACAAATATGAATGTGGTATGCAAGTTGTTTAAAGAAACAAAACCAGTGACACATATGGGTATAAGAAAAAGCTTCACATCAAGAAGTAATCTTATATCAAAAAGCTATTTTAGCACAGGCCAGCTCAAGTTCATAAGTTTAATGCAAACTAGAGCCCTTTTCAAATTCATATAGCTGGAGGCTGATGGTGCAGAAAGGGAAGTAGAATGCAGGAAGATCACAGACTGGTGGGTGCTGACTTGGGTAGGCCTAAACATGGTGGAAACATGGCAGGGTACTGATAGCTTTCAGGGTCAGGCAGCCCACATGGGGCCTCCCCTAGGGGCAAAGAAAGTCCCAGGAAACAGGAAAGTGAAGGGGGAGTTGGGTGGGGGGAGAGAGAAAGTTCTCAGTTTCTCTCTTATAAGGAGGTGATACCCCTAAGAAGGCATCATCAGGCTACAATCTAAGTAATGGTTGGATACCACTCTTATACTTTCATGTAAATTAAAGTTGCTATAAAATCGAACTACCATATTGGATCTCTTCAAATTGGTTGTCTTCCAAATTTCTTGACATAGACAAATAAGTGTTTCCAAGGTTGTAGTCATTTATTGAAGTATCTCAATAGTTAATTCCCTGAGTTTTACTTTTCACCTATGCCTTCAATGGGGCTTGCGCTTCTTCCTTTATGAACAGTGATTCTTGACCATGTGCTATAGACTGAAAAGGCTAAACATATATCAATTATTTCAGTACAATGACTATGTGGTCCTTTTATCTTCTTTTGTTTATGTTTGTATCACTCCAGTTTTTCTCCATAGAATCCCTAAATATCACACCATGAAGTTAAATGTTCTATTCTGCTCTGTCAGTTTGAAAAATGTATGTGGGTCCTTCTCCTTTGGTTTTCTAACTACTCTAATTTTTTCAGATTTCCTCATAAGTCTTCTTAAGCTGCATTTTGAGATTTTCTCATTTTTTTTATTAAAAAAAATTCATTTATTTTATTAGTCATTTTATTGAGAGCGCTTACAGATATTATAACAATCCATATTTTGATTAGATCAAGCATAATAGTACAAATGCTACCACCATCAGTAGTTCAAGTTGGATTCAGAAGAGAATGTGGAGAAAAGGATACAATTTCTGATCTCAAATGGATATTGGTCAGGGATTTGAACTGGATCATTCCAGTTTGACCCCATGCTGAAAAATTGCCTTTCTAGAGCTGATATACAAAATCAGAACCCACATTTCAACAAGACCTCTAAGAATCACCTGGGGATCTTGCTAAAATGTAGATTCTGGTTCAGTGTTTCTGGAGTTCAAAAACAAATTCTCAGCAAGGCATTGAACTGGAATGAACTGGGTCAAAGTCCTGATCTTAGTTAAAAGCAGCAAATACCAGAAAGATATTTGCTTATATATTAACAACCACATGAAAACGTCCAATTGTGTATTTCATAACAAATTATGAATAACATTATGAAGAAATCAGAATTACAGAACACTTAATTGTGCTCATGAAGAACTGTACATGGATCCAATATTTATTCTTTTTATATGTGACACAACTAATTTGAGAAGCCAGAGTATATAAAGAACAAAAAGAAAGTGTTAGACACTCATTAACAACCTGCACTGCATAAATACACAACCTTGTTTTCTGAAAATGAAGGCTACTTGAGGAATTAACTGGTGAAGGACAATGTCTATCACTTTCGGTATGAATTACACCTGAACCAGAAAAAAAAATTCTCATGATCAGACTAATAAAAAATTCAGCAAAGTAAAAACTGATATTTTCTATAATTTAATTCCCTGTAAATCAACAAACAAAGTCCATGGAAGCCATAGTCAAAATATCAGACAATACAAAAGAGAGCATAAGAGACCCCAAAAAGTACAGTATACAATAATGGAATAAGAGTACTCTGACATAATAAGTATCTATAAACCCAATGTAAGAGCCTCAAAATAGATAAATCAAACTCTAATCAAACTAAAGTGGAAAACAGACACTTGTGCAATAATAGTAGAAAACTTTAATATACCACTTTTGATGAAGGACGGAACTAGAAAGAAATTCAACCAAGATACAGAAAAAATAAACAACACAATCAATTAGCTTGACATCATAAATGTATACAGAACACTCCATCAAATAGCAACAAAATACACATATTTCCAGCACACTTTGAGCTGGACAAGACCATAAAAGGCCAAAGAGAACGTCTCAATAAATTTAAAAACATGAAAACACTATAATGTTTCTCCTGTGATCACAATGCTATAAAAATACTAAGGAATACCAAGAAAGAAAAGCTTGTAGTTAGTTAGTTCAAGGATGGCTGGCCTTTAAGAGTGTTTTCCACTCTAGCCTGTTGGGGCACCACGCCCTTTTCTTTCTTGGTATGTTTTAATTTGTTCTTTGTCAGTAGCTTGATGTTGTTGTTATTTTGTTGTACATTGTTGCTTGGTTTTGCTCTGTCTTGTTTTTGTGCATGTGGTTGTCACCGCAGGTCTGTCTGGATAGGACAGGCTGGATGAACAATCTGGAGGAGAAAACAAC